AGATCCTGGAACATCTCTTGCTGGGAGGAAAAAAGGTTAATGTTATTAGTTTAGATTAGCAATGCCACAGCAGAAAGGAGTTTAACACAGATCATTATTCTCAGAGGATTTGGTGTCTTCATGAAACTCATCCTTCCCCTTTTATTAATCAGAAACCTGGTTTGGTCAAATATGTGATGAAATAAGATCATCTCTGGTGGGTGGAACATTCTCTGTGTTAAGTCAACAATTCATCCTTCAAATTCCACAATAAGGACTGTGTTTATGCTAGCTCAACACAGACACATGGGATATTGCAGATGATCAGCACTTTGCTCACAATCCTCCATGTTAAGAACATCCAAACAATAAATATAACAGGAATGTGTTATCATATCCTGAATTTTAAATTTGTTTTTGCTAATGTGTTAGTTGCTTCATTCAGCTTATGTGTTTGGTATGAATGTCTTCTATGCAAGGAGATTTCTTGCATTTGAAATTACATTATGACATACAAATGTATATTTTATTCATACATTTAATATTGAATTCACTGAGATTATGTATAGTTTTAAATTTAATTCATTAAATTGTGCTGAGACAATGGATTAGGCCTATTTATACTAAGAGAATTGATTTAGGAAAATATTGATATCCTCTCTAAAACTAGACATACACATAGAAGGTAGTATAATTTAATGGCCTCTGATGACTAAGTTCTGTTTTTTATGTTTATAAGTAGCTTATCTGTGGCAATTAATTTCATTCTTGGAACGGTTCATGAAAACACACTATAATTCATTGAACACTGTTGAAAAACATGTACAGAAAAATACCTTTGCTTCACAACCTATGCATGAGAAATATGGGTGTAGCTGTAGCAGTCCTATTGCAACATAATACTGTTGGGAAACTCACACTGAGGTACCAATTTTAAAGTCAACCCTCCATCCTTTAAGAAAGCTCACCTTAACTCTTGTCAGATCTAAAGGCAATGTGCTTTGAACATTTGTTAAAATTCCTCCTCAGATTAAAGTTGCAGACATCACAAGAGGCTAGTTATTTTGTGTAGGATGTTGGGAAGATCTGATATATCAAATTTTTCCCTGTTGATTTTCCCTAGTCTCTTCCCCATTTTTCCAGTGGATTGCCATTTACACACTGCTCAAGGTAACATTTTCTGAAAGAAGAAAAATAATACAAGACAAGCATGCTTGTAAAGGTGGTTTCTGAGCCCTCTTCCTGAATCATGATAAAACCTTAAAACAATACAGGATTAAGTAGAAATGTCAAGTGCATCAAACTCTGGAGATGATGATGATTACTTTCACAGAGGAATAGTAAAATGACATTACACCTGAGTCATGGCTGCTCTTTGGTAGCTCACCATTCTCTCAGGTTGCTTATTTCCTGCTTGCTATTTTAAAGATTATGTTCCAGCAAACCTCTGTTCTCTTAGGTGCCCTCACCCCTACCACCCTATCAAATTTCTCTACAGATTCACCTTCCTCAGCAAAACTCATCTATTTTGCTTGAGGAGATTAATAACTATCCTTAAATGTTGTTAGAAGATGAAATTAGGAAACTGAAAAGCTTGAGGTAAGAATATATTTATTATGGGAATCCACCTGCTTTGTCATTTTAAGACTATGGGAGTATGAATATCTGCTATTGTACTCAAATACCCATGAAATAATACAACTTTTAATGCACATATTAAATCATATTTATATTTTCAGAATAGAAGAAGGTATTATAGCCCTACTGATGTCAACAAATGTTTACAAGTGAATGATTAAAGAACTTAAAAGTCAAGAAAGGGAAGTAATGTAATAAAAACTTAGAGTATTAAATTGTTTCATTGAAAACATGAAGTGCTCTATCAGCAGCATACATAAAAGAGTTTAAAGTATACCTCAAAATATTAATAAGTAAAAATTCATAAAATGTCTGATTTAAAATGGTGAAATGTTAATGAAACCCTATAGTAATACAAAAAAACACCAAGAAAAACAAATGTTTTCCTTTGTGCAATCCCATCAGTTCTGCTGAGAGAGTGACTGGTGAGAGTAAGCAGATAAAAGCACTTGCCCCGAAAGAAGCCCAACAACCTGAGTTTGATCCTGGTCTATACAGCAAGTTCTGGCCCTGCCAGCACCACAAAAGTGAGAGCCTGTTTCAAAAATATACACACAAAAAATAAAATAAAATACAAAACAAAGATTTTAAAAAGAAAAATATGAACATATATTTCTCTACGTACAGACATACATTTGTACAAAACCATGCACATTATAATTAATTGCTGTGAAAATAAGACACAGTTTGAGCCGGGCGGTGGTGGGGTGATGGTGCACACCTTTAATCCCAGCACTCAGGAGGCAGAGGCAGGCGGATCTCAGTGAGTTCGAGGCCGGGCTGGACCGAAAGCCTCCAAAACAATACAGAGAAACCCTATCTCATAAAAACCAAAAAAAAAAGACACAGTTTGAAATTTACTTGAGTCATTAAAAATATTTCCTATAATGTAACATGTATATAGAAAGGATTCCAATAAGAAATAAGTTTATTATCAAAGTGAATACATTTTGTAGCAAAGAAATACAATCAACTTTTGTCATATTACCTACCCTTTTTCTTTTTTCTTTCCTCAGCAATGCAATAGAGATAGAATATTTGCAGGTCACACTGTAAATCAACATATCTTTTAAACATAATTTTAGTTGTGGAAATGTAAGAATCTACATAATAAAACAGTGTATAGATGTGTTTCTTGCCTAGAAAATTGTCACAAGATGGACTGGAGAGATGGTTCAGGGGTTTGGAGTGTTTGTTCCTGCAGAGAACCCTAGGTTGGATTCTAGCCCCTCATAGTGGCTCATAACTATTCATAACCCCAGTTCCAGGGAATCCAGGCACACATGTGGTATGCAAACACACATATATGTAAAACATTCATACATGTAAAATAAAATAAACAAATTTTAAAAAACCATTTTCTCCAAAAGAATGGAATCTTTACTTCTTCCTCCTTCCCAAAGTATAAACAGACTTTTAGGTTTTCATAAAACAGTGTTAAGTTGAAAAATTGGGTGGAGGGTGAATACCCCTTTGCTGGGAAGGGAAATTATATAGGAGAGAGACAATGTGCCATATTTTGAAGTGATTATTACTAACCATGTAAGATCAATATCCTGTTTACTTCTATTGTGTTTACCTGATAGTCAAAATGTAATAAGTATAATATGAGGTTTAATGATATACAAATAACTTTGGTTTCTTCATTATGATTTCAAATCTCTCATATAAAAGATGCATTGTGATAACAAAGAACAAAGGATAGATAACTGGGGAATAATGTATACATTTCTCAACACAGTTACAAAATGTTTTCAATACTAGATTACTTTTCTGAAAGACAAAATCATTATTCCGTGACTAAGAAGGTCTATTGATGCAATAGGTTTAAACATGAATATCATCATTTATAAAAAAGCTACTTTGCAAGGATCTGATTATTATCCTTAGTCCAAGCTCCACAAACTGTCAGTTTGTGCCCTTCCTTGCCTGTCCTGAAACTTGAAAACATCTTCTCTCAACATGGTAGTGGGTACTTCAGTTCCACCTAGACATCTAAAGTATTTGTTAAAACATGATTACTATTTCCCTTTGGACCTGAGTCAAGTTAACTATATTCTCCTTCTGAAAAGCAGTGAGGGAAAGTGAGAATTATCAGTATTCTGAAAATATGAGCAATTCATCTCCAGTTACTTCTTCTGATCCTGTGATAATGTAACAAGACTGGTGCGGTTTCCAATGACTCCATTTGGTCAGGGAAAACATCGATATTCGTATTCCCATGAAAGGCTACACTGAATTACCATCTTAGAAATTAGAAAATACACGTTTTACAAGAAAAAACAAATTAACATCTTTTAGCTGATGATTGAAATCAAATCTATAGTTCTGAGAATGAATGTTCCCATCAGTTATTATATGCTCAAAGCCGCTGTAAACTTGAACAAAGCCTCCATGTATCTATCTACTCCTAACAACAAAAGCATGCTGGCACTACCTCCCCTTCCCCCTTACCCTGTGAAATGCCTAATTTCTGGATATCAAACAAGTGAGCTGAGTGCAATCTTGTCCAAGAAGAGGCTCGTGGTCAAAACCAACTGATCTAGATATATATGTGTGTTCTGGCGCATGTGTGTGTGTGTGCGTGCTTGTGTGTGTGTGTGTGTGTGTGTGTGTGTGTGTGTGTATGCAGCTCTTAACTACTCAGTCCCTTGATAGCAGCACATTTGACCTGATGTAACCTTAAAGGGAAAATCCAATGTTGTATTTTGGAACTTTAGAGTTGAAGTGCCTTTATGAGTATTAACACACCTTCATGAAGGAGTCAGATTGGGAGATTTTAGTTCTTACCAATTCTATGATGCTCAAAAACTGTTTCCACATTTATGTATCAATCACATCCATGGGTGTGACTGTGTATACTCATTGGAAAGGCAAAGTAACTAAATAAAAACCATAGTTAGTGACATTTCACAATTGTTTTTTCTGCCAAAAGGGCACATTTTTTAATTTACATGAAAATGCCTCAGAGACACACAGCATTATATTTTTATTCATTCATAAATGGTTATACAAGTTCATTTTAATGAATCATATTGCACTCTGTGTGATTACTAATGTCCAGGTTAATGACTTTGCCAAAATATTAGATGGCATGACTGTGGTTATTCCAGAAATTTATTTTCACTGAATGCAATGGTCCATGCCTAACATTCCAATTCCCAGAAACTGAGGTGGTTGGAACTCTCAGACTTTGTGGACAACTTGGTCTATATAGCAAGTTCTGGTTCAGTCAGCACCACAAAAAGAGATGAGAATCTATTTCCAAAATAATTATTTTAAGTGATATTGCAGATAAATATTATGACACCATACAGATTTTTAGATTTGGTTAGTACAAACAGATATCCTACTTTTGAAACAGTAAATGAGATGTGTGTTTCTCATTTTTTGCCTCCTTTGACATCTAGCATAAGCACTTTGTATAAGCCTTGCTTTAGCTCTTTGTTCTTAAGTGCATACACCATGGGGTTCAGAGCAGGGGGAATAACGTTGTGCAGCACATTCAGCAGAACTGGGATGAGGGGAACTTTCATTTGTGCACTATGAGTGATGGAAATGACAACAACTACAGTGTAGAAGAAAAGGATTAGAATGAGGTGAGAGGTACAGGTACTTAAGGCCTTAGATGCCGCTTCTACAGAGTTCAGCTTCATCACAGACCGGAGAATCAAAACATATGAAATCATAATCAAACTCAGGTCACCTCCCATGATAGCCCAAGCTATGACCAGCTGGTTGATGCTGTTGACTGTCCTGATCACAGGACAGGCTGGTGACCCCCAAGTTAGAGCACAAGCAGTGCTCTATTTGATTCCAGGAACAATAATTTCTCTGAGCAGCCAACACAGGTACTGACATGGGAATTGCACAGTTTCTGAGGACCATAAGCACAGTTGCTTTGATCACAAAAGAGTCAGTAACTATTGACGTGTATCTCAGTGGTCTGCAAATCACTACATATCTATCTATAGCCATGCAGACAAAGATACCTGACTCCATGGCAACAAAGCAATGGATAGCATACATTTGAGCAAAGCACTCTGGGAGACTGACAGTTTTAGCATTGAACCAGAAGATGGCTAAAATCTTAGGCATGATGGTGGTTGCCAAGCCCATGTCTACTATAGACAGGATGCCCAGGAAATGATACATAGGCTGGTGTAGTGACACTTCCTGGTAGATTGTGGTAATGATAAGTATGTTGGCTGTGAGAGCCAAGACATAGAGCAAAGCCAGGGGAAAGGAGAGCCAGTGCTGCCAGCTGTGGATGCCTGGAAATCCCATCAGAATAAACTCAGACACTTGGAATATAGAGCTGTTGGAATTGGTCAGATCCTGGAACATCTCTTGCTAGGAGGAAAAAAGGTTAATGTTGTCAGTTTAGATTAGCAATGCCACAGCAGAAAGGAGTTTAACACACATCATTATTCTAGGATGATTTGGTATCTTCATGAATCTCATCCTTCTACCTTTATCAATCAGACACCTGATTTAGTCAGTTATGTGATGAAATAAGATCATCTCTGGTAGGTGGATCATCCTCTGTGTTAACTCAACCAGTCCTCCTTCAAATTCCACAATAAAGACTCAACACAGACACATGAGATATTACAATCAGTGCCTTGCTCACCACCCAAGCAATAAAGAGAACGGGGCAAATTCCAAGTAAAGCCTGTGCTTATGCTAGCTCAAAACAGACATATGGGATATTATAATCAGCACCTTGCTCACCATCCTCCTTTTAGAGACCATTCATGCAATAAAGATAACAGGAATGTAATATCATATCCTGAATTTTCAATCTGGTCTTCCTAATGTAGTAGTTGCTTCCTTAAGCTTATGTGTTTGGTATGAAAGTCTTTCATGCATGGATATTTCTTGCATATGAAATTACATTATGGCATATGTTATTCATACAGTTAAGTTAGAATTCATTGAGATTATGTATAGTTTCAAATTTAATTCATTAAATTGTGCTGAGGATAATAGAGTAGGCCTATTTATAATGGGAGAATTGACTCAGGAAAACAATGATGGCCTCTCTGAAGCTAGACATATACTTAGAAGTTAGTATAATTTCAAGGCCTATGATACCTAAGTTTTGTTGATTATGAGTAGCTTACCTGTGACAATTATTTTGTTTCTTGGAACAGTTCATGAAAACACACTATAATTGATTCAACACAATTGAAAAATATGTACAGAAAAATATCTTTGCTTCAGAACACATATACTAGAAATGCGGGTATAGTTGAAGCAGTCCTGTTGTAACATAATCCTATTGGGAATCTCACACTGAAGTACCAATGTTAAAGTCAACTCTCCATCCTTTAGGAAATCATGCCTTCATTCTTGTCAGATCTAAAGGCAATGTACCATGAGCATTTGTTAAAATTCTTCCTTGGACTAAACTTGCAGACATCACAAGAGGCTAGTTATTTTGTGTAGGGTGTTGGGAAAATCTGATATATCAAATTTCTCCCTGTTGATTTTCCCTAGTCTCTTCCCCATTTTTCCAGTGGAGTGTCATTTATACACTGCTCAAAGTAACTTTTCCTGCAAGAAGAAAAATAATACAAGACAATAATGCTCATAAGTGTGGTCTCTGAGCCCTCTTCCTGAGTCATGATAAAACCTTAGAACAATACAGGATTAGGTAGAAATGTCAAGTGCATCAAACTCTGGAGATGATAATGATGATTACTTTCACAGAGGAAAAGACAAATAACCTTACACCTGAGTCATGGCTTGTCTTTGCTAGCTGACCATTCTCTCAGGTTGCTCATTTCCTGCTTGCTATTTTAAAGATGATGTTCCAGCAAACCTCTGTTCTCTTAAGTGCCCTCACCCTTACCATCCCATCAAATCTCCCTACAGATTCACCTTCCTCAGCAACACTCATCATGTATTTTCTTTGAGAGGATTAATAACTACCATTAAAGGGTGTTAGAAGATGTAATTAGAAAAATGACAAGGTTGATATAAGAATATATTTATTATGGGAATCCACCTGCTTTGTAATTTTAAGACAACAGGAGTATGAAAATCTGTTACTGCACTCAAACACCCATGAAACAATACAACTTTTTTATCATTTTTTATTTTAATTTTAAATAGCTTGTTTTACATGTCAATCCCAGTTCCCTCTCCCTCCCCTCTTCCCGCACTCCCCTTCCCCCCCCCTCCCTCCCACCCTATTGCCAAATCCTTCCACATAGGGGATATCAGAGTCTGTTATTTTACTCTGGGTAGGGTCCAGGCACTCCCCTAAGAGTCCAGGCTGAGAGAGTATCCCTCTTTGTGCTATAGGCACACGAAGACTGTTTGTATATCAGGGATAGACACTGATCCACAGCTCAGGGTCCCATAGGTTGCCCAGGCCTTCTCACTGACACTCACATTTGGGGGGGTCCAGATCAGTCCCATGCTGGCTTCCCCACTGTCGGTCTGGGGTCCAAGAGCACTCCCCTGTTCAGATCAGCTGTCTCTGCTGGTTTTGCCAGCCCATTCTTTGCCAATTTGCTCATCACTCCTCTCTTTCTGTCACTGGGTTCCTTGGGTTCAGTTCAGTGATTAGTTGTGTGTTTGCCTCTGCTTCCATCAGTCACAGGATGAAGGCTCCCGGATGGTTATAGACATCAAGTTCATTATCAGGAATGGGCATTCGAGGTGGTCCCTCCACTATTGCTTAGCTTGCCAATTGATGTTATACCTTTAGATCACTCGAGGTCACTCTGGTGCCTGATCTGTCTTCGATCCTATGATTACCTCTTCCCCCTATTCTACCCCCACCCCCTCATCTTCCTGTTCCCCCATGACCAAGTCCCTTCCTCTTTACCCCCTCTATTCTTCCCAGGTCCCACTCCCCCACCCCTCGCCGTGTTCCCCATCCATTCAGAGGATCTTGTCTCCATCCTCTTCTCTTGGGTACTATGCATATATGCATATCTTTTAGGTTCTTTCCTGTTTCCCAGACTCTCTATCTGTGGAAGTGCAGACTGGCACTATCCTGATCCATATCTAAAATCCATATATGAGTGAGTACATACCATGTTTGTCTTTTTGCGACTGGGTTACCTCACTCAGGATGGTTTCTTCCAGTGCTATCCATTTCCCTGCGAATTTCAAGATTCCATTGTTTTTTTCTGCTGAGTAATACTCCATTGTGTAAATGTACCACATTTTCTCTATCCACTCTTCAGTTGAGGGGCATCTAGGTTGCTTCCAGGTTCTGGCTATTACAAACAATGCTGCTATGAACATAGTGGAGCAGATGCCCTTGTTGTATGAACCTGCCTCATTTGGATAGATGCCTAAGAGTGGAATTGCTGGGTCTAGTGGTAGATTAATTCCCATTTTCCTGAGGAATCTCCATACTGATTTCCAAAGAGACTGTATGAGTCGGCATTCCCACCAGCAGTGGAGGAGTGTTCCTCTCTCTCCACATCCTCTCCAGCATAAATTGTCTTCGGTGTTTTTGATTTTAGCCATTCTGACAGGAGTAAGATGGTATCTCAGAGTTGTTTTGATTTGCATTTCCCTGATGGCTAAGGATGTTGAGCACTTTCTTAAGTGTCTCTTGGCCATTTTAGCCTCCTCTACTGAGAATTCTCTATTTAGCTCTGTACCCCACCTTTCAAGTGGATCCTTTGGTGTTTTGGAGACTTGTATCTTGAGTTCTTTGTAAATTTTGGAGATTAGCCCTCTGTCAGATGTAGGGTTAGTGAATATCTTTTCCCATTCTGTGGCCTGCCTTTTTGTCTTTTTGACTGTGTCCTTTGCCTTACAGAAGCTTTTTAGTTTCAGAAGGTCCCATTTGTTAATTGTCGATCTCAGTGCCTGTGCCACTGGTGTTATGTTTAGGAAGTGGTCTCCTGTACCAACTCGTTGAAGAGTATCTCCCACTTTCTCTTCTAAAAGTTTCAGTGTGGCTGGATGTATGTTGAGATCTTTGATCCATTTGGACTTAAGTTTTGTACAAGGCGATAAACATGGATCTATCTGCAGTCTTCTGCATACCAGTACCCAGTCATGCCAGCACCATTTGTTGAAGATGCTTTCTTTTTTCCACTGTACAGTTTTAGCTTCTTTGTCAAAAATCAGGTGTTCATAGGTGTGTGGGTTAAAATTAGGGCTTTCGATTCGGTTCCATTGGTCTACCTGCCTATTTTGTGACAACACCAAGCTGTTTTCAGGACTATAGCTCTATAATAGAGCTTGAAGTCAGGTATGGTGATGCCTCCTGAAGTTCCTTTATTGCCTAGGGAAGTTTTGGCTATCCTGGGCCTTTTGTTTTTCCATATAAAGTTGATTAATGTTCTTTCCAGGTCCTTGAAGAATTGTGATGGAATTTTGATAGGGATTGCATTGAATCTATAGACTGCTTTTGGCAAGATTGCCATTTGTATTATGTTGATCCTACCAATCCAAGAGCATGGGAGATCATTCCATTTTCTGGTATCTTCTTTGATTTCTTTCTTCAAAGACACAAAGTTCTTGATATACAGGTCTTTCACTTCCTTGGTTAACATTATCCCCAGATATGTGATGCTGTTTTTGGCTATTGTAAAAGGTGATGTTTCTCTGATTTCTTTCTCAGTCACTTCATCATCTGTATATAATAGGGCCACTGATTTTTTTGAGTTTACCTTGTATCCTGCCACATTGCTGAAGGTGTTTACCAGCTCTAGGAGTAACCTTGCGGAGTTTTTTGGGTCACTTATGTAAACTATCATATCATCTGCAAATAGTGAAAGTTTGACTTCTTCTTTTCCTATTTGTATCCCCTTTATCTCCTTTTGTTGTCTTATTGCTGTAGCTAGAACTTCAAGTACAATATTGAAGAGATATGGAGAGAGTGGACAGCCTTGTCTTGTTCCTGATTTTAGAGGAATTGCTTTGAGTTTCTCTCCATTTAGTTTGATGTTAGCTGTTGGTTTACTGTATATTGCTTTTATTATATTCAGGTACGTTCCTGTTATCCCTGATCTCTCTAGGACCTTTATCATGAAGGGGTGCTGGATTTTGTCAAAGGCTTTTTCAGCATCTAGTGAGATGATCATGTGGTTTTTCTTTCGCAGATTGTTAATATGGTGGATTACATTGATAGATTTTCTAATGTTGAACCATCCCTGCATTCCTGGAATGAAGCCTACTTGATCATGGTGGGTGATTTTTCTGATGTGTTCTTGAATCCAGTTTGCAAGTATTTTATTGAGTATTTTTGCATCAATGTTCATGAGGGAAATTGGTCTATAGTTCTCTTTCTTAGTTGTGTCTTTGTGTGGCTTGGGTATCAAGGTAATTGTAGCCTTGTAGAAAGAGTTTGGCAGTGAGCCTCCTGCTTCTATTGTGTGGAATACTTTGACGAGTATTGGAATGAGCTCTTCTTTGAATTTCTGGTAGAATTCTGCACTGAAGCCATCTGGGCCTGGGCTTTTTTTGTTTGGGAGACTTTTGATGACTGCTTCTATTTCATTAGGGGTTATAGGTCTGTTTAGATTATTTATCTGTTCTTGATTTAGTTTTGGCAAGTGATATCTATCCAGGAAATTGTCCATTTCCTTTAAATTTTCAAATTTTGTGGAGTACAGATTTTCAAAGTATGCCCTGATGATTCTCTTGATTTCCTCAGAGTCCGTTGTTATGTCCCCTTTTTCATCCCTGATTTTGTTAATTAGCATGTTCTTTCTCTGTCTTTTGGTTAGTTTGGACAGAGGTTTGTCTATTTTGTTGATTTTCTCAAAGAACCAACTCTTTGTTTCATTGATTCTTCTCAGTGTTTTCCTGGTTTCTACTTGATTGATTTCAGCCCTCAATTTGATTATTTCCTGGCATCTGCTCCTCCTGGGGGAGTTTGCTTCTTTTTGTTCTAGAACACTCAGGTGTGCTATTAATTCTCTAGTATGACTGTTCTCCAGTTTTTTCATGTGGGCACTTAGTGCTATAAACTTTCCTCTCACCACTGCTTTCAAAGTGTCCCATAAGTTTGTGTATGTTGTGTCTTCATTCTCATTGAAATCGAGGAAGTCTTTAATTTCTTTTTTTATTTGTTCCTTTACCCAGGGATGGTGCGATTGTGCATTGTTCAATCTCCATGAGTTTGTAGGGTTTCTGCGATTTGTGTTATTGTTGAATTCTAATGTTAATGCATGGTGGTCTGATAAGATGCAGGGGGTTATTCCAATTTTTTTGTATCTGTGGAGATTTGCTATGTTTCCTATTATGTGGTCAATTTTAGAGAAGGTTCCATGTGGTGCCGAGAAGAAGGTATATCCCTTTGTATTTGGGTGGAGTGTTTTATAGATGTCTGTTAAACCCAGTTGGGTCATAACTTCTATTAATTCTTTTGTTTCTTTGTTAAGTTTCTGTCTGGAGGTCCTGTC